CCCTCCCTTTTTTGTTTAGAGTTTTATCTTGCATAATACTTTCCCCTCCCCAGTTTCCTCCCATAATACCATTCTGATTTTGGTTGAATTATTTATACCTGCTATCTTCTCTATCTTGATTGTTGAATTGCTGCTTGGTTTCTTTACAGTATTACATGTTTAAAATTAGACATTAATAACTCAAATTCAGATTTTTCTTGTGGTTGTTAAGGTTGAAATTAGCAAGTGTTTTACCACTTAAATCCCTATTTGCACAAATCTAAAGAGACACTATATTTAGTTAATTGCCTCTACTTCTATTTGAGTTTTGAATTGTAAGGAAAAAGAATTTCCCCTTTTGGGGGGAAAAAAGGGGGAGTCCCATATCTGTATTCATCATATAGGTATAAAGACTTTTAAGTGTGAGAATTTAGGTCCACATTCTTTTAGACTTTCAGAGATCCCAGGTACATTTTAACTGGCTAAAGTGATTCCTTTAGAAATGTTTCCATGATTGATCTCTGAGCAAAGTGCTGTGAAAGTTACAGATATGGGCATATTTTTGGTCACGGGGAACTATTTCAGTCTGTAGGTATTCTGGAGAGAACTGAAAACTGGTTTAGGGTAGTGATTTTACTTGTGTGCTAAAGGGAAGCTTGGGGAAAAGTTTCTTCATGTTTCTTAATAATTTTAGTTTCTTTAGGTTAAAGAACTGTATGTGTGCGTGCATGTGTGTGTGTGTGGTGTAAATAGTATAATAGTCTCAATGTTTTAGCTTAAACTGGTGAAGTGATGATAAAATACTGTTTTGATGCCTTTGTTTTATTGACAGCTTATACTAATGTGTAAATTTATGTGATTGCAAAATGTGTTTTTGTATCTAGATCAGATCAACCATTGGCTTGCCTTCTATCATAGTCAGCTGAAAGTGACTTTTCAAGTTTCTTCAGGATGCCTGCAGCACTTGTGGAGAACAGCCAGGTTATCTGTGAAGTCTGGGCCAGCAATCTAGAAGAAGAGATGAGGAAGATCCGAGAAATTGTGCTCAGTTACAGTTATATTGCCATGGTAAAGAGCTCTACTCTACTCTATTTGACTCACCCTCTGGTATGGACTTTGGGAATTTTTAATGTGAGATTTTGAAATAAATGATTACATTAAAGTGATGGCACATTAAACATGATAGAAGGTTATATTGCTTTATGAAACATCAAGGTAGCCAGTGTGTCTGAGAAGGGCATAACCTCTAGTGGCTTAGATGTTTTGTAATGTTACTCTGTGTTTGAAAGTCTTTAAAGCAGAAGTATGTCAGCCATAGGGCTCATCTTTCTCACAGATATGGTAAATTTATATAGTGTTTAAAACGATTTTAAAAAATTAGTTGATAGCGTTTAAAAATCAAGAGACTTAAATTCTAGATTTTTGCCGTCCCTGGAAAAATTGGGAAGATCTGGCAATATAGGGGCCACATTCCTGCCTGACATCGAGTGGCTGGAGAGGGAGACTGTGTATCATGGTGATGTCAAGGGACTCTTTTATAGGAGGCATGTAAGCCCCCATAACTCATAACCATTTTCATACCCATTTTGCTTTACTCCTTTACATGAGCTGCTTGGAGTTTGTGACTCCTACTGTAGAGAAGATAGAAGTAAGTCTTTAGCTTGGTATTTAGTATTCTGTATGATCTTGTTCTTTTCACTCAAGCCAAACATGGCTATTTATTATTTTTTCTGAATAGCATTTTCACTTCCCTATTCTGTATTTTTATTCATATATTGGTCTCAACCTAAAATGTTCTTAATTGCCTATATATCTACCTAGAATTAGTCACCTACTTCTATTTACATCCTGCTTAGGCTCTCCAAGTTGTTGTGCAAAGCTGCATGATTTTAGTGTTTCTATAGGTGTCAGTAAGATCAGTATTTTAAGATAGATTTTTCTGCCCAACCTTGGGGTTTGTCACATAACTTTTATAAATTGAGGTAAAAATTTTGTTAGTGAGTGATCAATTCAGCATTCACTATTTTGTGAATCCTTGTGATAAGAGACTTTTTCTTTTCCAGGACACAGAATTTCCAGGTGTTGTGGTGCGACCAATTGGTGAATTTCGTAGTTCCATAGATTACCAGTATCAGCTATTACGGTGCAATGTTGACCTTTTAAAAATTATCCAGCTGGGCCTTACATTCACGAATGAGAAGGGAGAATATCCTTCTGGAATCAACACTTGGCAGTTCAACTTCAAATTCAACCTTACGTAAGTGTCTGAGACACTTCTAAGTGTTTTTCTTGGACCTGCTACATTTTTGCAGGCTGTGATTTCTAACTGAATTTATTAATTTTAAGTTTTGTTTCCACTGAACCCTAGGTAAAAGTGTTGAACAGTCAAACCAAGGATGGAATAAAGAATTTCAGAAAGTAAAGTTCCTCTTAAAGCACTCCTACAAGTCAACAATAAAAAGACAATCCAATTAAAAATGATCAAAAGAGCTGAATAGACATTTCTCTAAAGATGTACAAATGGCTAATAAGCCCATGAAAAGATGCTCACAGTCATGTCAGTAGGGAAATGCAAATCAAAACCACAGTGAGGTGCCACTTCACACCCACTAGGTGATTATAATCAAAAAGACAAAAATGTGGCAAGAAATTAGAATACTCAGACATTGTTATTGGAAATGTAAAATGGTACAGCCTCTTTGGAAAACATTTTGGCTGTTCCTCAACAGGTTAAACATAGAGTTTTACCATATGACCCAGCAATTCCACTCAGGCATATGTTTAAGAGATTTGAAAACATACATACAACCAAAGCCATGTACGTGAGTGTTCATAGCATCATTCATAAAGGCACAAAAGTTGAAGCAATCTAAATATCTGTGAACTGACAAATGGATAAATTAAACAGTGTATATCCATGGAATTGAGTGTTATGGAGCAGTAAAAAGGAATAAAGTACTGATATATACTATACATGGATAAACTTTGAAAACATGCTAAGGGAAAGAAGCCATACACAAAAGGCCACATATATGATTCTATTTATTGAGATGTCCAAAATAGGCACATCTATAGAAACAGAAAATAAATAAGTGGTTTCTAGAGCAGTGGGTAGGGAGGTTATGGGATAATGGCGAGTGATTGCTTAATGGGAACAGAGTTTCTTTTTGAGGTGATGAAATGGTTTATAATTGATGGTGGTGGTGGTTGCAAATCTGAGCTTTACTAAAACTGTTGAATTGTATATTTTAAATGTGTGAATTGTTTAGTATGTGAATTATATCTCAATAAAGCTATTTAAAGTCAAGTGAATATCCCAGTTAAAGATATATATTCTCAGATATATATCCCAGTTAAGAGATCGGTGTTTGAAGTTCACTGGTTGACTTTAGGACAATTATTTTCCCTTTTGTAACTCAGTTTTCTTATCTATAAAAGAGGGTTATTAGTATCTTTCATAATAAAAATAAGGTATAGAGTAGGTGCTGATCAAAGTTAGTTGAAACTGAAGCCTATCTGGTAGTGGGAAAATTTTGATGTAATTAAAAAAAAAAGTGGTAAAATAAAATTTATTGCTTTGCACTGTTGTGAAACAGACCTCCAGAACTTTTTCATCTTGCAAATCTGAAACTTTATACCTATTAAATAATTCCTGTTTTCTTTTCCCCCTAGCTCTTGGTAACCACCATTCTACTTTCTGTTCAAGTGGAATACTGTAGTATCTCTTGTTTTATGACTGGCTTATTTCATAGTATAAAGCCATCAAAATTTATCCATGCTGTAGCATGTGGCAGGATTTCCTTCCTAAAACTGAATATTACGTTGTATGTATATGCCACATTTTGTTTATCCATTCATCTGTTGATGGACATTTGAGTTGTTTTCACCTCTTGACTATTGTAAAGAACGCTATGTGAATATTTGCACATGGATGTGCAAATAACCTCTTTAAGACCCTGCCTGCAGTTCTTTGCATATGTGGCCAGAAATGGGGTTGCTGGGTCCTATGGTAGCCCTGTTTTTCAGTGTTTGAGGAGGATGTAACTTTTACGGGGAAACTGAGGAAAGACTGTTATGTTGCTGATGGTTCTCAGGTGGTGGTAGTGTATTTCTTTTTTCTTTTTTTAAAATGTTTTTATTGATTTTAGGGAGAGAGAGAGAAACATCAGTGAGAGAGAGAAACATTGATTGGCTGCCTCCTGCATGGCCCCCCACTGGGGATCCAGCCTGAAACCCTGGGCATGTGCCCTTGAATGGGAATCTAACTGGGGACCTCTCAGTGTCTGGGACGATGCTCAACCAACTGAGCCACACCGGCCGCGATAGTGTATTTCTTATTATGCTCCAGTTCTTTTTTTTTTTAATCTTCACCCGAGGATACGTTTTCCATTGATTTGAGAGAGAGGAGAGAGAGAGAGAGAGAAAGAAACATAGAAGCGAGAGAAACATGGATTGGCTGCCTCCTGTACTTGCCCCAACCAGGGATCAAACCCAAAACCTGGGTGTGTGCTCTGACCAGTAATCAAACCCACCAACCAACTGAGCCACACTAGACAGGGCTAGACTTCAGTTCTTCAGTACTGCTTTGTTTAGGCACCAGGAGCATTTGATAGCTCAGGAATACTTTTTTGACTATTTTCCATGTGTTTTTTGGAGATTTCTTTGAGTTTCAAAGAATAATTTTGGGAGATAATCTCTATCTTTCCTTTAACTGCATTTTTCTAGTTCATTGCCAAAGCCTGTTATTTGTTCCATAATGATAATATGCAAAATAATGTAATATTTTTATTGCAGGGTTTGTGTATGTGTTTAAAATAATGTTTATTTGAGGTAGAATGAAAGATTGTAGTTCAACACCGGTTTTAATTTAATGGGAAATATTAAAACTGTGGTGATTTTCTTTTCAGTTTCCTAAATTTATGTGAAAAACAAAAGAAAGGAAAACAAGGAAACCTAGTGGAAAATGAGTTATTTTCCTACTTTTGTGTCCTGTATATTTCCGTGTTTAAGTTAAGGGATTTAGCCTTACAGTGAAATACTATGCCAGAGTTACAAAGGCTGTGGTATGTCTTAGTATTGACCTGGAAAGATGAGCTGTGATATATAGATGTAAAGATGGAGGTATGTGTATGTGTAGGCAGAGAAAATAGTCTGCAAGGATATATAAACTGAGTTGTTAACAGTTATTTCTATGGGACAGCATTATAAGAACATTAATTTTTAAGAAAATTTCTTCTATTTGAAATATTTTTGTATTGGTTGATTCTTTTTTTCTTTAAACAATGACTGAATGTGGATATTTTATAAGTAGTCCATTTATTTTAAGGGGAAAATCCCATTATTGTATCTGTTACAGATATAAGATCATCTACGTTGCTTGCTTGCTGGAATACTGGAAAAAATGAATTGTTCTGTTCTTAAATTATGAAAGCATTTAATGAAAACTTGTTCTATGATAAGTGTGATAATACTGTTACCCACTACTTCTGTTACATTATCCATCAGCTAAGAAGTCAACACCTTCTTTTTCAGAGAGGACATGTACTCCCAGGATTCCATAGATCTCCTTGCTAACTCAGGACTGCAATTTCAGAAGCATGAAGAGGAAGGGATCGACACATTGCACTTTGCAGAGCTGCTTATGACATCAGGGGTGGTTCTCTGTGACAATGTCAAATGGCTTTCATTTCACAGGTCAGCTCCAGAAAATGTGTATTTCTTGATTTGGGAGCAGGGAATAGAATTCTTGTTATTTTTGAAGTCCTCTTGGGTCTCTTCTGTCGGTAGTTATGAAGTTGAAATGGAAACTGTTACTCACGTTTGTTTTTCAAAAACACTTTGGAGCTCATATTGGTTTGTTACACAGTATTGGGCTATGTCATGTGGCTGTCAGTGAGTGTATTAAATGGTTGGCCTTGAGTTATCTATGTACTTGAAAGCCAGATTCTCCTAGGAGATGTTATTTTACCTTTTCAGTACTTCTGATTTTTTAAAAATTCTTTTTTATTTATTTATTTTAGAGAGAAGAAGGGAGGGAGGGAGGGGAAAGAGAGAGAGAGAGAAACGTAGATTTGTTTTTCCACTTATTTATGCATTTATTGGTTGATTCTTTTATGTGTCCTGACTGGGGATTGAACCCTCAACCTTGACATATTGGGACAATGCTCCAGCTGACTGAGCTACCCGGCCAGGGCCAGTACTTCTGAATTTTTGATGACTAAAACCCACATTTGTGAACCCTTGGCCCTTGGATTAATGTTTTCTTACATATCTTCCACATTAGTCTATGTTGTTTTTTAATGGGAAGTTCAGATTACAGTAGGATAAACTACTTTGGAAGACTGAAAGGTAACATCATAAACTTTGAGAAATAAAGTGGTTGAACACTGGGGCTTTTTTACCTTAGTACCTCCTTCTCTCATTGTAGTGGCTATGATTTTGGCTACATGGTAAAATTACTTACGGATTCTCGTTTGCCAGAAGAGGAACATGAGTTCTTTCATATTCTGAACCTTTTCTTCCCATCCATTTATGATGTGAAATACCTGATGAAGAGTTGCAAAAATCTTAAGGTACAATATTTTTCTTAATACTAGTAACAACAGCAAAAAAAGTCAAAAAAGCAGACATGTCATTTTGCTTTGTTGTTTTGTTCAGCATGCATTCTTGAGTGCCTACTAAGTGCCAATATTGTGCTAGACAGGTTGTATATAAAGCTGATTGGCACAGGAATTTGTGTGATAACTGTCTTTAACCTGGGCATGAAGGGAAACCTCTACTTCTCTCATCATAAGGCTTTCTTCACTTAAGGTCCTTGAACCTAGTGAAATCATTGGTAACATGAGTTGTATGTGCAGTTTGTCAGGAATGGGGTCTATAGTGTTCCAGACTCAGATCAGAGGAATTCTTAACCCTAGACCAGCAATTTTCAACCGGTGTGCCACAGGAATTTTTAAAACATGCAGTACCTGACTGTTTAGTTAGGGGCACTGATATCTTTTCCCTTAGATTGTCAAATAAAAAAATGACAGCAGCCAACACAATAGCTATCCAGTGTGAATGCCCTGTCTTGAACCATAAATATATATAGGTCATTTAATAGAGTTGCATCTTATTGGTCATGTCACATAATAAGGTTGCATCTGATTAATTCTTGGTACTAGATATTCTTACATACAAGTATAGGCACCTGATTTTTGAAAAAGTCACTTTGGAGCAAAAAGGGTAGATAATTACTATTACTATTTTTTTTGGTAAAGTAATCAAAATTATATTTTTTGTCAGATGCACAAAAAATATATTTCTTGGTGTGCTGCATAATTTTAGTAGTTTATGTGTGCCAGGAGATGAAAAAGGTTGTAAGTTGCTGCCCTAAACAGTTTAAGAACTCACTACCCTAATAAATTATTGACGTGAGAGGTTTGCTGTCTTGAATTAGATTGGCATTTCCTATTTCTTAAACCTTATTTTACAGCAGTTAGGATTTTACGGGGCAGAGATCTGACAAAATTAATGATAAAGACAAGAAAGGAGCGAAAAGTAGAATATAACACAGTATATCATTTGGAGTGCCCTGGGTAAGGCCTGTTAAATAAATGGCCTGTTTCCACTCCTCATCACCAAAAGTAAACTGAAGAATGAACTTAGTTGACTCTAGTAGGGGAGTGTTAGGTCTGTAATATTATTTTTGTTTTCCTTACATCTCCAGGGAGGTCTTCAGGAAGTTGCTGATCAGTTGGATTTGCAGAGAATTGGAAGGCAGCATCAGGCAGGCTCAGACTCGCTGCTGACGGGAATGGCATTCTTCAGGATGAAAGAGGTAAGGCTAAGGGGATGGATGGCCTTTGTGGGCTGAAGTTTGTTGAAAATTTATAGTTTCTGTTGGAAGTTGATGGCTGCATTGAAAGTAGTTTTTGTTGTTGTTACGATGTTCTATGTATTAAATATAGTTTGGGAAGCAAAGCAGCATTCTGAAATGGAGGCCACTCAGCACGCCCACGTCTGGAAGTGTATTTGGTGTTCCTAGCAGCTCCAACTGTTACAGTTATTTTTCTTCTGGTTTCTATGATGTGAACACATTCGTTAGACCACCCACTTACCCCACAGCTAACATAATCGGCAGCTTTCTCTCTAAGGTCAGAACAAGACAAGGTGTCCACTCTCGCCACTTGTACTGGAGGTTCTGGTCAGAGCAGTCAGGCAAGAAAAGGAAATTGAAGGCATGAGGATGAAAAGAGGATGAAAGCTGTCACTGTTTGCAGATAACACGGTGTTATCTGTGGAAACCTTGAAGACGCCACCAAAAGCTGTTAGAGCTAATAAACTCAGTGCAGTTACAGGGTGTCAGCCCTGGCTGGGTAGCTCAGTTGGTTAGAGCGTCGTCATAATACACCAAGGTTGTGAGCTCAGTCCCCAGTCAGGGCACATCTAAGAAGCAACCAATAAATGCATAAATAAGTGGAACAGCAAACTGATGTGTCTCTACCCTCCCACCCCCACCTGTCACTCCCTTCCTTCCTCTCTAAAAATCAATTAAAAAAACATTGCAGGATACAAAACCAATTTACAGAATTCTGTATCAGAAAGAAAAATTAAGAAGACAATCCCATTTATAATTGCATCGAAAAGAATAAATTAATAAATTACCTTGGAGTAAATTTAACCAAAGACCTGTATATTGAACACTGTAGGATACTGATGAAGGAAATTGAAGATAACACAAATGAGTGGAAAATATTATGTGCTCATGGATTGGAAGAATTAATATTGTTAAAATGTCATACTACCCAAAGCAATCTACAAATTCAGTGCAATCCCTATAAAATTCCAATGGCATTTTTCACGAAATAGAGCAGACAATCTTAAAATTTGTATGGAACCACAAGACTCCAAATAGAACAATTCTGAGAAAGAACAAAGCTGACAGCACTATTCTTCCTTATTTTGCCTCCTGAACTACTTTTGGCAGTGTCTGGAGACATTTTTGGTTGTCCCATCCTGGTGTTAGGGCTTGAGGGGCAGTGTGCTACTCGCCAGGGATGCTGATAATTGTCCTACAATACATTGGACAAGCCACCCCACCCCAGCAGAGTTATCCTGCCCAGTAGTGCCAGGGTTGAAATAGCACCCTGTTTTGAGCACTTAATGCCCATTATCTCCCTCATGACAACCTACATAATATTACTCTGTCTTATAGATAGGGAACAGTGGCATAAGGAGAGTCAAAGTGACTTCCCTAAGGTCACACAGTGAGTCAGTCTGTAGAGCCCAAGCTCTTAACCACTGCACTGCCTGTTAAAGAGAAGGGATGAAATGGGACATTTGTACTAAACAGCAGCAGCATCACAGGAATCTTGGCAGTAAAGGAACTCATGGAAAATAGAAGTCTGTTCAGAAGGGAGCATGAAAAGGTTTGGAGCCTTTCTTTATGGAATTTATTTCTAGTTGGCTAGATTTTCAGGGCTCTGAGAGAGCTGGGAAGTGCTGATGTGGTGTTGAGACTTGACGTGATTCTTACTACAGGTTCTCTGTCCCATTCTGCAGTTGTTTTTTGAGGACAGTATTGACGATGCCAAGTACTGTGGGCGGCTCTATGGCCTGGGCACAGGAGTGGCCCAGAAGCAGAATGAGGATGTGGACTCTGCCCAGGAGAAGATGAGCATCCTGGCGATCATCAACAACATGCAGCAGTGATGGCGGCGAGGCTCTGCCGGCGGCCCGCCCGAGCGGTGCTTACGGTGCTGTGTACACTTCGTCGTCAAGAGAAGCCTCTTTCGAGCAAACTGTACTTACCATCTGCATTGAGCAGAAAGACTTGTTTTACTGAAGACAAAGAGGTCTTTTAGATCCAGAAGAGGGGAGTTTGCTCTGAATTTGTAAACAAGTCTTACCTACTCCTCTTCCCCAGGCCTCTTCTCCAGTTGCCTCCTGCCACCAGCATCCATGGTTCATTTGACACCTTTTTAAATATACAGGATGAGTGACAAACAAACTAGTAAAGTGTATATAACTTACCTGTTGTCATTCTTTTTCTTTTAAATTTGTTGCTAATCTCTGAGCATGAAGACTTCTTGCTATTATTCTCAGCTGAGCTGAGGGCTTCCAGGGAAAGTGGAACAAAATGGTATTCTTGTTAAGTGTGGGTGGTAGGTGTTGAGTCTTTTCCTTCCCTTTTTTTGGATCCTTCTCGAGGACATTTGCTTTCCTCATGGAAATGAATTACATGCTCAGTGCTGAACTTTGAAGACCAGATAATGAAAACTTCTCTTAAAAAAATAAAATTCTACTGAACCTGTCTACTCTTTATTCATGAGGAAGCCATCGGAGTGGGCATAGTTAACCATTTAAGTGTCTTTATGTCCTATCGTGCCACTGAGATTTGCTGTCACATGCACATCATCTGAAATTTTACGTTTTCATATAATAAGATAATGGATTTGATTCTGAAGGAAATTAGTTAAGATCAGATTTTTGGATCATAAGTCTTGTGGTTTCAGATGGTTATTTGTATTCCCCCACCTCTTTTTTGTTTTCCCTTTTCCTTTCAGCAAACCTGAGGAGTTAGGGAGATGGATTGATGTGAGTACCAGGAGTGTGAGTCTTTAAAAAGTTGTGGTGGTTCATATAAACTGGGCAGGAATCTGGTTTATAGAGTTCTCTTGGAGTAATATCTCACAACTGGGGTAGAAAGCTCAGGACTGATCCCCCCCCCCCGAAACTAGTCATTTAAAAAGTACACTGTTTTTGTTTGTTTTTTTGAATGAGTACAGTATGGACAATTTTGAAAAACCCAAAAACCCATTTGCTATGGTGGAAATGAAAACTAGTAACTCACTGAAGTGGAGGAATAGTCCTGCATTTTAAAAGCTTATAGAAAAAATTTGAAATGATTCAAAATGTCAAGTATTATAAGCTGGTATTTAAGATGCTTGTAAATATATTTATGTTTTTAATTTTGTATAATAAAGATTTCTTTTTAACTACTTGCATGCAGATTTGGTCTTTCATAGCTATGAATTTCTGGCTCTGGAAATGGATGCTTGCTGTTGGTAACAGAAGCATCTTGTCTATCCCCAAACTCTTGCCTCCATTTCCCACAAGGTGGCTTGCATACAAAACGTCTCACTTTGAAGGAAGCTTTTAATGAGCAGCTATGTAAATGGAGCACTTCATACTCATCGCTGATTATGGGGTCTTACTTGAAAACCAGTCTTAACTCTTGTTTCCTGGGGCCACTCTTATATATGATAAATTAGCTTGTTAATTAGTGGAATTCTTTTATACAAATTGAACTGATATCCTCAGAACTTTGTTTCTGACCCTTCCTATTGGCACAAATTGTGGGTTTTAAGATGTCAGGTACAGAAGCAGACCTAGGATTTTGACTGGGATATTCACATATAGGATGGGAGGTATTTATCAGTAAGATTTGCAGTAGAAGCAGCATAGTTCGATGGTTCTTAGCCAAGGTGCTTTGGTATGCTGATGACGGAACTCTGCACAGACCTTCCTCATTTGGATTAAAATAATAATTATCTTTGCCACAACTGAGGAAAAGACTGACTTGTCAGGAGAAATGTTGAGATGAAGGGTTGAGGAATTCTGTGTTGAGTGGGGGTCTGTGGGGTGTGTGTGTGTGTGTAGAGAGAGAATGTGTAGGGCTGTGTGAGTGGTTTGTGTGTGTAGACAATGTGTAGGGCTGTGTGAGTGGTTGTGTGTGTGTGTAGAGAATGTGTAGGGCTGTGTGAGTGGTTGTGTCTGTGTGTGTGTGGAGAGAGAGAATGTGTAGGGCTGTGTGAGTGGTTATGCTCGGAAAGGGATGCTCCTGAAGAGTAACCAGGAGCATGCTAGCTGGGTGTGACTCTCCCCCTCCACATATAAGGCCAAATGTTCTTGAATTCGTGTTCTGCTAACCCATTAAGGTTGAATACCAATCACAAGCCTAGCTGCCAGCTAGTGCTGGTGTGAATGAGCAGTTTCGAGTCCTCTAAGTCCAAGCTATTAACGAGTATTCTTTCATAATGTATTCAGTCAGTAAGTTCCCATTATGCATTGACATGACACTGTAAGAAGGTGCTAGGGATAAAACAGCACATGGAAGGTAGTCTCTACCCTCACTGGAGTTTGTAATCTACTTGTTACCAGGCAGTAAATAATGAACAGAAATATAATTTGTGAACTGTAAAGTATAGGTCACTGATGTCCTTGAGTTTGAGGTTCAGGCACAGTCTTTTCAGAGAAAGGACACTGAAGCTGGGATCAGAGAGATGAGTAAGAGTGGGTCAGGCGGAGGAAGAACACAGGCAAACCCCGAGATGATAAGAGGTCTTATTTGGTGGGTTCCAGCAACTAAGAGACCAGTGTGGCTGTAATCTAGAAGCGCAGATGAAAGCATCTTGACATGACCAAGAGGTAAAGGCTGGGATCAAGTAGGACCTTGTAAGCCACACTCAAGATTATTTTTTTCCTAGGAGGAATGGGAAACTGACTTTTTAAAGCAGGGTGTTGACAAGACTTGATGTGCAGTTTAGAAGTCATTGGTGTATAAAAAGGAAGAATGGAGAATAATTAGAAAGTGCAGATTTAGAGACATATTGGGAGGAGACTGCAGCCACCCAGGTAAGAGGATGGTAGTTTGTGTTAGATATGCCTATCGGATATAGTTACTTTGGATGGGGTAATGGACCAAAACTAACTTTAGTTGCTTAGTTGATATATTTTATCCACTCAGAACTTGAGTTAGCTCCTTGGTGCTGTGGCTCTTTGTGGTTTTAATAATTGGGGAGATAGAAATGAAAACTATTCAAATTAGAATAGCTTGAGTATATTATATAGTATTGAGAGGAGGATTTGAAAGGAAATGGAATTATCTTATGCTTTTGAGTAGTCTTATTACTTGGTTGTCAAGTAGTAATTGTACCCACAGGTGATGGCTTTGGTAAATCACAAAGTTTAGAATTTCTACCTGAATACTACATACTGCTCTTGACTCAAGTGGAAGGGAATCTTCCCACCTCTGCAAGCAAACATTTTTCATTGTAGCAAAGACTGTAGAACTGGTATGTAGTTCACCATTTAGCATGCCTTGTTTATGTCTTTGCAACCAAGAGATCTCCAACCTCAACTAATGTCCATCTTCTAGAGTTCACTTCACTGTGGAAAGAACTATGAGGGCTGATAGTTCCTTTTTTGAGTTTAGCATTTTTAAATTCTAAAGCTAGGTCTAAAATAAAAATCTCAGTAAGTCACATCCTTGAAAACTGCCTCTTAAATTTTTTCCTTCCTAGAGTTCCTGTTAGTGAATTTCATTATTGCTGCCCACAACAATCCCAACCAACCCTAGGGAAACAAAGGACACTCATGGAGAAAAGCCTTCACAATGAATCCCAAAAGCAAATAGTTCAATTATTGGGAAAGAATGCTCCCTGTCAACCCTACCCAACTGCTTAATTTTTATGTCCTAGCAACTGGGATATTCTGGAAACATCTGTTCCGACATTGTTCAACTACTTAAATAACCAAAGAGAAGAACAGACCTCAAAAGAATGCTCATTAGTTAAAATAAGTAAATGAACAAGGATTTGTAATTAACATATAGGGTCCATTATGCAATGATCCAAAAGTCATAGAGTCCAATGATCCAAACCTTACATATACAAAATTAGGAAGGAATATGCATTTTTCTTCGAAGGTCATCTGTGGCTTCCATCTAATTCTCAAAGAGTCCTGTGATTCAAAAAAGATTAAGAATAACTGAAACAGTAATTTCTTTCTGAGCTATTTTGATCACCATCAAAACTGAAGGGATAAGACACATTTGAGTTCATTATTTGTTCTTCTAACACTTTAGTAAATGATTTGTTCAAATAAGCAATTACATGAAACAATAAAACCAAAATTTTGACCTAAAGTTCAGACAGAGGGTAAGGCTTATTTCACATTCAGTAGTAGTAGTAGTAATAGAGTAGAAGGGGAGAGCCCAAGTTAACAAAAACAACTTAAAAAATGATACCAGTAGTCAGAAACTGCAGCAATTCTATCTCAAACAAGAATGACATGTTTCTGATCAGGGGAAGCATTTATAAAGGTAGCTTGTGTATAAGAACATAACACTTCCGGCAATTAAAGTTTCTCCTCTTTGGGTGAAATCTACATAAGGCTTTAGAGATGACCAACAATTACTCTTGCAGGTGTTCTAATGTCTACTGCTGGCTTTTGATGATCCTTTGGTAGGAAACCACAACTGAGTCTCAGGTCAGATTCTGCTGTTTTTAAGGGTAGAGTTGATTCAAACTTGACCCTCATTTTGTATTATTTGGATCATTGCAAAAACATCTACAGATCAGAGTGAATGTCTGGCAAAAGTGAAAGGTGGTATCAGATGTTTTGAATTTGACACAATTTATTTTAAAGGTCCTTGAAAGTTCACGTGCAGAAGGTCTGGCAGTGTCTTTGGTAAACTTTCGTGTTGCCATATTTCTGAAGGAGCTCTTGGGCCTGTCGTTGCATTTCCTGGGTCACGCTGCCAGGACACTGGGACCCGATGTGAAGCAGGACGAGGCAGCACTCCAGAACATCTGGGAAGGGCCAGGTCTGAAAGATGACATGAGAGTGAAACGAGGAAGCATTTGCAAAAGAGCCACAAACACCTGCACAGAAGGCACCAGTAACTCAAAAGTCTCATCTCCTGCCACTTCTCAGGGCACAGCTGAGCCATTTCTCTCATGATGTCTTGTGAGAGAAGACAAGCAATGTCTTACTCATCAGTTACTCTAAGGAGAGATGATACTCAAAACTGGAATGTCTACTGGGACGGCCTTCTCCAACGAATACAATCTTCTAAATCTCTGCTCCAATTAATTTAAAACGTGATGTTTCTGTTACTACCAGGGCACATCTAAATATGCCTATCCACCTGTAAGCTATCAAATACATGGCACCAACTTTAATTTTACTTTACCTCCCAGTTACAAAACTTGTTAGATTTCTCTGAAGACTGAGGTATATAAAATTGCTTGTGTTGTCAATTCTACTCTCACAAAACATTTTAGCTAACCAAAGGCGAATGGATCCTAACTTTTTTCTTTTTTTAAAAAAGTATGTTTTTGTTTTGTTGATCCTTACCTGAGGATATTTTCTCCATTGATTTTTTAAAGAGAGTAGGAGAAAGGGAAGGAAGGGAGGGAGGCAGAGGAACATCAATATAAGAGACACATTGATTGGGCGCTCCACCAAGCTGGGGATCAAACCTGCAACCCAGGTACATGCCCTTGACTGGAAATTGAACCCATGACCCTTTGATGTGCGGGCTGACACTCTAACCACTGGGCCACACCCATCAGGGCTGGATCCTCTTTTTAAGCACATTCAAACGTGTAGAAAAGTTGATGACCTTAAAGAATTTGGTATAGTCAACTGATAATACAAAAAGCAATGTTTTACTGAATGAACTGCTATAAATCTTACCTTAACACTTTCAGGAAACTTAGCTATTCTCTCATTCGCCTCCGTAAGCCTTTTGGTTAATTCAGGTAGAGAAAGTTGCTCATTTTTATCTTCTTTACTAGTAAATAATAATAAAAAATACAAATCATGTCTTGTCCTGGGTAACTTTAACTCAATTATCTATGAATAAAATTCCTTTATCACCTGGGTCTTTATCTCCCATCTTTAAATACAAAGTTTAAGAGGAGGCAATTTAATGTGATGGGACATGAAGTTTTCAAAATGCAATATTATTCCTTATCATTTTCCAAAACCCCACTTCTTAGACACACAGCTCCAATGAAAATACAGGACCCTTAAGGGGATTCAACCTGTAGCCAAGAACAGAGGGCCTGGATTTATCGGGGGAATAGTTAGAGCTGAGCTGTTATCCATGGGGTATATTGATGCATTTTTTTGGGTACACGTGTTAAGCTTCTCAAAGGGATCCTGTGATACAAAGGTTAAGAGCTGCTGGGTTAGAGAACTTTCCAGTGTT